TTGATGAATTGTTGGTTAAGGAAACCTTCCAATGGGGTCCAGAAAATGCTCTTTCAATGCTTACATTCGTTGATATACTGGGAGGTTTGGAAAGATAGATGTTTAGCTAGATTTGAAGGTAAGCATATGCCTGGATGGCATGTGATTCAGCAGGTCACCAATTGTTGCACTCTAATTCTGAGAGTTTAATTCCCTACTCTTCATCTTCCATAGTTATGGGGTGACAAGTGCAAAGTTATAGAGAGGGTTCAACAAATAATACAATCAAAATAAATTGGAAGAAGCCTGAGAGAAGCTGGGTAAAATTAAATGTGAATGGTTGTAGTAAAGAAAATTCCGGTTCCATATGTGGTGGTGGGATTGTTAGAGATCATAAGGGCAGACTGATTGTGGCTTTTGTTGACTTCTATGGCCATGGTAGTAACAACTTGGCTAAAATTAAGGTAGTTTGCAAGGTATCAATTTGTGTATGAGTTGGGGTTGCTTGAAGGTTGTTGTGGAATCAGATTCCATGTTAATCATCAGCATGATTAACAAGAATATGAAACCACCATGGCAGATTTCTCATGTCTTGGAACAGGTTTGGAGTATTGCTAGTACTGGAGAGTTCACTTTTGTCCATACTTTCAGAGAAGGAAATGGTATTGCTGATCAGTTGGCAAACTTAGGTGAGAGGAATAAGAATCAAGTTATCTTCACGGAAGTTGTCTCTCTTCCTAGAAAGGTTAGAGCTTCCTTGAAGTTAGAGCAAGAGTGCCTTCCAAATTTCAGAAACCAAGAAGAAACTATTACACCATTGATGATATCACTACTTATTAGAATAGTATTTGGGGCTATTTTAACATATATAGAGGTTTTCTCCAACCCCGGTTAAGCTCTTTTGAACATAGGTACATTAGATTGGTTTACACTAATCTACACTATGCTAAGGAGGCTAAAGTTTATATCCTCCTCCATGTAATTATAATTTTTGGTATATACAGTTAGGAGTCGTGCCTAACTCCTCCATCATAATGATGGACCTTTAATTTTTTTTAAAAATAAAAAAAATGTAAGGGTCTTTTACACGGCTGGCTTTAGCCTTTAGCCTTTAGCCTTATAAAGTCAAGTTACGTTGCGGCTCCTACAAGATAGACGGAATCAAGACTTCTAGCCTATTGATATTGGTAATAGTATCTCACAAAATAAATATGAGTTTAATTTTCTTTATTGTTACGTCCATTTACTTCTTTAATAATCTTCAAAGTAATAATAAAATTTAAATAGATTGTCACATCTCAACCTAATTTTTAGGAAAAAGGCATAAATACCCCTCAACCTATGATCGAAATTTTAATTACACACATTTCTTTTTCAGAGATCCTATTACCTCCTGAACTATTATAAAATGAAACTATTACCACCCTAAATGCTACGTGGCAAAGTGTGAGTATTTCACTCTCTTTGAGAGAGTGACAAACCCAAAAATTTACTTTTTCCTTTTTCTTTTTCTTTTCTTAGTCTTTTGTCTTTTACTTTTTTTCTTCGTCCCCGGATGACAAAACCACCATTGAAAGGCATTGAGCTCCATTTACAACACCATTCCTTTGAAAATTTATTTTTTAACTTTAGATGGTACTTTTCCCTCAATCTTTTATGGATTTATTCTTATCTTTGCATTAGCAAGAAAATAAATTTAAATTTGATTATATGTACATGTGTCATCTTTTTATTGGACATTACACTTAATTAATTATGACACTAACTTAAACTAACATCTTTTTCCTTTCTTTTCGAAAATATACAGTCCTTTTCTTAAAATTACGACAAAAAAATTATCATACGTGAATATTATTTTTTGAACCGAAATTGAAATCGGAGAATTAAAATTTTGGACTTTATTGTTGTCATGTTGTTGCTATTAGTCATGAAAGAATAGAATAATAGATCAAAATAAGGAACATAATGAGAGGAAAAAAAAAAGTAACACAATATACACATGGCATACGAGTGTGTTTCACCTCCCAAGAAAAATCTGTTTATGACATTTCAAGGAGATATTTATTCCACTTTAGAATAGTTTAGAGGGTAACAGAACTCCCGTAAAGAAAATGTGTGTAGTTAAAACTTCGATCATAGGTTGAGGGGTACTTATGCCTTTCTCCTAATTTTGATGACATTAACGGTTTCAAGAGAATTTTATTGGATATTATAGTATTAGAACTTGTCTAAATAAACTTAATTACAGGAGTCATAACCAAGGATCATATATAAGGATTAACTAGCACCGTTTTTTTTTTTTTTTGGGTAAGTAATTAATTTTATTACCAAAACTGGTTAGTACAACTCAAAGAAAGAAGAAAATAAACACATCTTGGACTAGCATCGTTTTAATGTACTGAATTCTCTTAGAAAGAAAGTACAAAATATACACAAAACAGCTAATAACCTGAAACACAACGAAACTCTTTGGAAAGAAGAAACATTTATACCAAAATGTAGTCACAGTTTTATTCATTCAGTAATAAACTGAGGTTTTAGGCTTTCTTGGCCTTTTACAATGTTGAATTTAAGAAAATATCTTTTTTAGATCTCTTATGCGTAAAAGTAAATCTCTCATGTGTAAAAGAAAAGGTAGAGTTATAAAACTAAAAATAAATTTATAAAAGGCCAAAAAACCAATTGACCCGTAATAAACTACTAACTGGACATCTAAAACTAGAAATTAGTCGGGCCGTTTCCATGTTGTAAATTGCACCGGATGGATTTTTTTTAGATCACTATTTATATTTTGATCCCGCTGAGAAAACTATTCGGAAAATAGCCAAAACTTTAAAGCATCAAAAATTCTAACGATCACTAGAATTTTTAGCGCAAAAATTTTTAAAGCACTAGAAATTCTGACGATCACTAGAATTTTTAACGCCAAAATTTTAAAGCACCAGAAATTACGACGATCACAAGAATTTTCAGATTCAATAGTAAAATTTTTTGACAGTTCATCAAGATTTGTGATAAAATCCTCTCGATCACCATAACTGGTATGTGCTTGACTATCGAGAAAAATCCTATCCAACGAATTTAAATTTCTAGCATGAGACCTTTTTTTTCAACACTTTTGTAATCGGGGTCAAAAAATCAATAGTAGTACCCAACTATCATTGCTGTTATTCTCAAAGTTTCACTTACACTTCACAGTTCAGTTGAATTGTGATTACTCAGTTATAATCAACATAATAACTTCTTGATTATGATTATTAAGTTGATACTCCCTCCGCTTTAGTTTATATGATACATTTTTCTTATTAGTCCGTTCAAAAAAGAATGACATATTTTTTATTTTGAGATAATTTAACTTTAACTATTTTATTTTGATCATTTTATCCTTAATAAGAAGTTTTTATACACACAAATGTTATAGGTCCGCAAAGCTTTTACCCTTGTGCTTTAAAGAACACTAGTAGTCCGTACCCGCGCGATGCGCGGTCAATATTAAATAACATAAATTGTGCTCAGGCTAGTTTGAACATATTAGATCATATTACTTTAATAAATTTCAATTGTCATCTTATTTGTCAATATGATATACCCAATAATAAAATTTCTATTAAATTAAAGGGACTTATATAGTCATTGAATAACTTTTTTGTTTCTATTATCCAATATTTAGTATTTTTACATTGTTAATAGAAATTTTTATTAGCAAATTACTTTGTTTAATATTTTTGTCTGCTCGCTTTCTTTTTGTAATATAAGAGAAGATATATATTTTATTAACCTTGAAATATTTTTTATTTTAAATTTTATTATGTTGTTACCAATAATATTATTATAAAATATTTTATTTTATTATTTTATAGATATTTAAATTCAAAAATAATAACCAATAACTCATTATTAACTAAATAGCTAATTATTAACTACTTATGCCATGTGGCTTTTTTCTAAGCTGTCACTTGGCTTAATGAGAGGGCTTTTTCCTCTCCTTTAATAATAGATAGATTAAAAACTCCAACTTGAAACTACTCTCGAATTTGAATGCAAAGTTTTTTTTTAATTTTTGTTTTCTATTATAAAATATTTTATTTTATTATTTTATAGATATTTAAATTCAAAAATAATAACCAATAACTAATTATTAGCTATTTATGCCATGTGACTTTTTTCTAGGCTGCCGACTTAAGGAGAGTGTTTTTTCCTCTCATTTTAATAATATAATACAATATATAATATATAATATATAATATATAGATTTAGATATAGATATAGTATTTTTACATTGTTAACACAAAATTTTATTAGCATATGACTTTGTTTAATATTAGAAATTTTATTCTAATGTTTTCAATAATATTGTCTGAATTTTAATAAATAAAATCTTTATTAAATTAAAGAGACTTGTATACTCATTGAATAACTTTTTTGTTCTATATTTTTCTTTATAATGCTTATCCAATATTTAATATTTTTACATTGTTAATAAAAAAATTTATTAGCATATTAATTTGTTTAATATTATTGCTACTACTTTCTTTTTGTAATATAATAGAAGATATATATATATTTTTTTTGTAATTTTAGTTTTTATTTCACAATAATTTAAAAACTCCCACTTGAGACTACTCTTCAATATGAATGCACATGTATTCTTTTAATTTTTATTTTTTATTATAAAATATTTTATTTTATTATTTTATAGATATTTAAATTTAAAAATAATAACCAATAACTAATTATTAGCTATTTATGCCATGTGATTTTTTTTTAGGCTGCATATGATTTTTTCCTCTCCTATTAATAATAGATAAGTTCCAAAAGTATTTTTTTCTTATCTCCGCCAAATCAAAGTGTATAGTATAAATTTGAAACGAGGAGGTATTTTCTTTTATTTTATTTATGTAAATATAAATAAAAAAAAAGAAGAAAAAGCCGGGTCAAACATGACATTCAAAATCGCTTTACACCTCCAAATTATTTGGATGCTGCCGTCTAATGGCAGGAAATTATTTTTAGAAAAAAAACTTTAGACCCTCAAACTTTTGCAACTATAACCGCCTAGATCAACGTGTTCCAAGATCAAACGGTAAGACGATAAGCCACGTGGCAGTATCTCAAGAGACTAGCTGCAACTGACGCACGATTCTCTCGCTTATATAAAAGGAGAGGAGGAGAGCAAAATGCAATTCGCATTGCTCTGTGACTGTTTTTGCTGTGTACAATTCACTCTCGTCTTTTCAATTTTCCTCCTCTGTTTGTATCAATGGCGGCGGCAATTCGATACTTTGAGTTGAACACTGGTGCTAAGATGCCGTCAGTGGGTTTGGGAACGTGGCAGTCCGATCCTGGCGTTGTCGGCCAAGCCGTTGAGTTTGCTATCAAGGTATGCTCACTCTCTCTCACCATATATATGTGTATATGTGTGTGAATTTTAGTTCCTGTCTATGTTGATTTAATTATTTAAGAGTTAAAAAGTTGATACTTTTAGGGTGTGTTTGGTATAGAAAATATTTTCATGGAAAATGAGTGTTTCCTTGTTTGGTTGGTGAGTGAAAAATATATTCCGGAAAATATTTTTTAGTGTTTGGTTAGAGAGTAAAAAATATTCTTTTAGGAAAATATTTTTTATGCTACTCTTCTCACCCTCTCTTCCTCCAAGTATCTAAAAATTCACACAAACCCAAAGTAACTAATGTGCTGCTTTACTTTTTAATGCAAAAATAACGTTGAAATTTGTGCTCTATAACTTAAAAGAAATACTCCTTTTGGTTAAAAAGAAAGTACTTTTTCTAAAACATGAAAATAAAGTACTCATTTTATTGAAATAAAAAAAAATACTTTTTCTACGTCATGAAAAAATACTCATTTTGTTGAAATGAAAAAAAAATAAAAAAATTACATCATGAAAAGAAAATATTTTTTTTGTTGAAATGAAAAAAAATATTTTTTCTACATGAAAAGAAAGTATTTTTTTTTATATCATGAAAAAAAAATTATTTGTTGAAATGAAAAAAAAAATCTATCTATAATATGAAAAGAAAGTATTATTAATAATATTTTTATTTAGGGTGGGTAGGTGGGGTGGTTTATGCTTCAAAGTAGTCAAGTACTATACTTCTCCGTCCCATTTAATGTGACTGTGTACTGTGTTTGACCGGAGAGAATTTGAAATTTTGTGATTTAAAAAAAATCATAGACATTTGTTTGGCTAAATCATCTCATTTTGTTGAAATAAATAAAAAAAATTATATAATGAAAAGATTTTTTTTTTTTGTTGAAATGAAAAAAAATACTTTTTCTACATGAAAAGAAAGTATTGTTTTTTTAAAATGAAAAAAAAATATTCATTTGTTGAAATGGAAAAAAAAATCTATCTATAACACGAAAGAAAGTACTATTAATAATTTTTTTATTTAGGGTGGGGTGAGGGTGGGTAGGTGGGGGTGATTCAGTTGTGACGTGGTTTTTGTTTATACGAAGAATTTGAAGACAATGAGTAGAAGTTTTTACTTTAAATGGTTAGATTCAGAGTAGAGATTCATTTTCAGAATGCTTTTTGCCTTTAATATTTTCTTTTCTAGAGTAATTGTAAAAGATAACATTGGTATCCCATTCAAATGTGGTAAAAAAAGTGAAGCAAATATTCCTTCCTACATATGCTGAAATTGTGCATGGGCCATAAAACTTTTATTTGAGTTTATGGAAATATATAGGGTGCGCATTGTTCTTCTGGATAACTACTTTCCTTATCGTAGTTCTTACTCATAATTGGAACAATAGATGGTAAGAAGTCATGTTGCTTCTAAAGTAACTTTGGAGTTCCTTAGAATTCAACGACTTTGAAGTGTCACTTGCAACTTAGTGATTTTGTTATTCTGACGCAATTTATACCTAATTATTCTCTTCTTCTTTTTGCTACAGGTGGGCTACCGGCATATTGATTGTGCTCGAATTTATAAAAATGAAAAGGAGGTAAATTGGCTTAAATCATACTAAGCTTTTCATAGTATTGAAGTGAGCGATTCGCTCATCTAAACGCTTAAATTGTTATAGAAGTGACACTTTTATTTTTATTTTATATCTGCAATGCGCCTCTTATTTTACATGTACAACACACCCCTTTATGTGGGCCAGATTCATTTTAGGGACAAACATGTGGAAATAATCTGTTGGCGGGTTGCGGATGATGTCAAACAGTATGAACTATCTTGTCTGAAAGGTTTTTAAACCATTAGAGTGTGACGTTTATTTATTTTTCAAACGAAATAAAGTAAAAATCATTAACTTGGAGGTTTGGCAACCAGCGGGATGCCTTGCATTGAGACGGCATGATTGAGGGGCTTATTGAGTTATCACTTACAAGGCTCAATTTTAAGTGCTAATGAGGCTTTTACGTATCTTGTTTACTGGTCCTGAGTACTGTGGCAGTGTGGAAAGTTATGGTTGTTATGTTAAGATCTGAAAAATCAGTACATGCAAATTAATCATTAAGGTGGCACTCTAGGTGTCCTATTGGTGTCATTAGCTGATAGACACTCCGCCTATTTGCTAGCTTTGTCTGGCATATGCAATATTTAGGTCTTACGGTAAAATCTAGTGTCAATCCTTGATGTTTTTGGACTTCTTTACCTAGGGAAAGGTGATCAACTATTATCATTTTTCTTCAGATCAATCCATTGTTAACATTTTCTGGTCTGATCGATTCTATCTGTTTAAACCTAGTTTCGGGTCTTCCGGAAACAACCCCTCTGCCTTCTTGAAGGTAGAGGTAAGGTGTGCGTACATACTACCCCCCAGATCCCACTTGTGGGATTACACTGGGTTTGTTGTTGTTGTTGTTGTTGTTCAAACCTAGTTTCATTTCGTTAGAAAACATGGTCTGGTTTCTAGATTAACCTGTCACTAGATATATTTCCTTGTCTAATTTTTTTTCCTTCAAAGATTGGTGAAATTTTGAAGAGGCTGTTTAAAGATGGTGTTATCAAGAGGGAAGAGCTCTTCGTTACATCCAAACTCTGGTAATTAATCTAAACATTCCTATAAGAACTTACCTCCTTGTTCCTCGTCCTAAAATTTGAATATGCTGAGTCAATTTCTTTCCGTTATGAAGTTGACTCATTCAACTTTGTTGGAGTTATTCTCATCATCATTAACCTTCACTCTTTTGCTTAGCATCGTTGAGTTCCCTCTTCTATTATATATGCTTCCTGATAGCTTGGTAATTAAATAACTACTTCTTAAGCTGGCTTTTAGCAATAGCGGTGTTGGTGGGGCCTCTGTTTTTTTAATCATTGTGGTCTCCATAGTGTTTTAGGATACTCATACATTCAGGTGTTATTAACTCTCGTAGGAACACTGATCATTCACCTGAAGATGTACCAGTGGCACTAAACAAAACTCTAGAAGACTTGCAGCTGGACTACGTTGATCTGTACCTCGTAAGTACTGCAAAGCAGGAAGTTTTCTTTCTGCTAGTGTTTGTAATGTTGCCAATTAGTTCAAAACCATATCTCTAATTTAATATAATATACTTCTTAGAAGCATTTGCTGCAATATGCGCCCATTGTTCCCTTAAGCAGATGCCCCTGAACTAAATTTAAGAGCTGCTGTGATGCTCCTGAGAATTATAAATAGTGCCATTGTACTTCTACGTGTCTTTGAAAAATTTTTAACATCAAAAGAGCGTTCATTAAGTTGCCAAATTTAAGTGATTTAACTGTTTTGTCGTTTTTTTGGGGCATTAAATGGTGTTGTTCTAGTAAATAAACTGAGACTTATTTTCCTGTTTTCCTCCCTTTTTGTCTTTCTGGTTATGTGGTTTCGGTAGATACATTGGCCTGTCAGTATGAAGCCTGGTTCGACTGACTTTAAACCTGAAAACCTTATGCCAACAAACATACCTAGCACATGGCAAGCAATGGAAAAGCTTTATGATTCTGGGAAGGCTAGAGCTATTGGTGTTAGCAATTTCTCTACTAAGAAACTGGGAGATCTTTTGCAAGTAGCTCGTGTTCCTCCTGCTGTCAACCAGGTGGAGTGCCATCCTTCATGGCAACAAGCCAAATTGCAGGAGTTCTGTAAATCCAAGGGAGTGCACCTCTCTGTGAGTTTATTTCTAAAGCACTTCTAGTTCTTTTTTTTATTTTTTTATTTTTACCCCTCCCTAGGAGCTCCTCCATCTTGCTCCCTTGGTGACTCGAACCCACAACCTCAAGGTTGGAGGTGAAAGGTGCTTACCACTTGAGCAACCCTCCCTCTCTTGTCTAAAGCACTTCTAGTTCTTGTGTACATTGTGGTCAATTTTTCTTTTAATTTTTTTCCCATTTCCATATTCATTTGATTACTATGAGAAATTGTTTGCAGGGGATGCATTTATTTGTCCCATTATTGTGGTTGTTGGTATCTACCGACTAATCGTCTGTCATTTCATGAGTAGATTGACAATGAGTTGTTCTTGTTTTTACTCCTTTCTGACACTTTTTTATTTCAGGCCTATTCGCCGCTTGGTTCTCCAGGTACTACATGGCTTAAAAGTGATGTACTAAAGCAGCCAGCTGTAATCTCAGTTGCTGAGAAATTGGGCAAGACTCCTGCTCAGGTTTGTCTTCGTTGGGGCATTCAGATAGGTCAGAGTGTACTTCCTAAGAGCACACATGAAGCACGGATCAAAGAGAATCTTGATGTATTGGACTGGTCTATACCTGATGACTTGTTTGCCAAGTTCTCTGAAATTCCACAGGTAAATCCTTTCATGGTAATGGCAATTTCTTTTGATATTGCTGAGATTGAATTGCAAATTTGTTATCTCTTATCATATTGATTTCAAATTTGAAAATGAAGATGGACCTAGAAATTGGCCATATATCTTCTCAGTAGATAGCAACCCATGTTCCAAGGAAAAATAATACTTATGAAGAAAGAACAATAGAAAAGGAATACGAATGAGACTTGCATTGTGCATTCGGAATGGCTGTTATACTTTTAGTCATGAGTCTTTGATACCTTTGGTAGTGACATTCATATAATTTATGATAGATGCTTTGATACCTCTTAGTATTGACAGACTCATAGCGACAAATGAACGTCTAATATGCATGGCAATATACTTCCATGTGCTAGTTAGACAACCATCCCCTTCCCTCCATAACAAAAGAAAACAGAAGACCTTTGTACTAGTACATTGCCTCTCTAGGCTCGTACTTAACTTCCTTGATGGTTGAGATAAGTGGCTATATAAAGCCTTTCACTAGATATTTTCACTAAGAACTTTACTGGATGCAGTTCATGGATTATTGACATCACTGTTGAAAACTATGCAGGCAAGGCTGCTGAGAGGCACTTCCTTTGCTCACGAGACGTATGGTCCGTACAGAACGCTTGAAGAGCTATGGGATGGTGAGCTCTAAGGTCTCGGTCAGACTTAATTGTTGAAGATAGGCAACACTTGAAAAAAAAGATAGGCAAATCTCAATCCATTTATCTCATAGATATAGGCTTCTTGTGCACTTCCTTTTCCTTCCAACTTTGGGAGATCGGCCAATGCCAACCCGTTTATCTCATAGATGTATGCTTCTTGCATCTGTCCCTCTATTGCCTGGGTGTGCTGGAAACCATTCAAGAATCTTGCAGATTTTACGAAATATTAGTCAAACGTTTGATTTGCTGGGGTATCCCAATAATTTGTTGTCATCTTTTAATATATAGTTTAATGATTTGCTTTATCGCACTTTATATCCCTTTCCTTCTGTTTGGTGGAAGAAGTAAGAACTGAAATTTGTGCATCAGACGTGAAAGGAAAAAAGTAAGCAGACTAGTAATTGTAGTATCCAATTATCGACCTGTTGCATTTTCATTTTTTGTTTTTTCTCTAATTTTCTCTTGGCAATGAGCATGTTTCTCAAAACCTCTTAAATCGAGGGTTGAAGAGCTGACGCATGACATGAAAACTCTCTCTCATAGCGTGCATAAATTTCACTTGGCACTATTTTATTTTTATCTGTCTTCTCCTGTTAGCGACTAACCTATCATAATGTATCCAATGAGTTCTTTACTATTTATTTCTTCCGAGAAATGGTACATTAAAGGGATCTTTACACAAATAGCCGGTCATATTCATTATTTACTTTTAATAGTCATATACATAGATTATATAATGATTATACACAATTATACACACACAATACACAAATTATGCATATATTATACCTCCATCGGCTATTTTTAATTTAAACGGTTGGGTGGGAGACTATTTGAATTAATTCTTCTACATTTTATTAAATACGGTTCGCAGTACTCAATTTAGAATGTTATAAACAAGCACATAAAGCAGGTTTCTTTTTTGTCAATGAGGAGCAAAGTACACTCTTTGCAACTTGCAACCTAAGCTCCACACATGCATAAACAATCACCTGCGGGATAAAATAATGATAGAAATAATTGTTATAACAACTACATTTTCCAGGCTCTGCCTCTATCCTAATTTCACAAACTCACTTTTCAGCCTATGCTTGTGGACTTTGATACTCTAGGACAGTGGCTATTTTTGAAATATAGGACGAAAAGTCACAAGTGGGCTCTATTTCTAGTATGCTCACATAGGCCTTGTCCTATCCTTTTCCGCGAAGAATTAACCTAAATAGTGGCCGATCCACCCAATAACCGATTGATCATTTAAACACAATATGTGTATAATCATGTATGATCGATATATATGTATACTGGTTAGAAAAATTAAATTGTGAATCCATCTAGCTATTATGTAAAATTTCCTTCCTCCTTTTGGGAGAATGTTTTGACCTTGGTAAGAAAAGTTTGGAGAAATTGTCTGGCTGCCAGAATTTTAAAGCACGCTGCTAGAATTTTGAAGTGCGCTGCCAGAATTTTGAAGCACAATACCAAAATTTTGAATCACGCCGTTAGATTTTTAAAACCATAATTTCAAAGCACAATGCTAGAATTTTGAAGCAAGCAGCTAGAATATGAAGCACGCTGCCAGAATTTTGAAGCATACTATCAGAATTTAAAGTAATTGTCAGGATTTTTATCAATATGTATCTTAACGGGATCAAAATATAAACGATAGTTCTAAAAAGATTCATTGGACGTAATTTCCGGCTCCTTTAGCAGGTTTTACTTGTTATAACTATCGAAATATTAGTAGAAATGACAAGGGATGTCTAATATTTGGTTCGGTATTTAATTTTTAGCTAGAGTTTAAAATGTTGAGCAACAATAACCTGTTTTTCTTAAACATCAAAAGATCCTTTTACCTTGCCCTTCATAATTCTTCCTTTTCCGAAACAGTAACGACTGCCATTTTCACTCTTTTCTGGAACTTGGCTCTCTCTGTCTTCACTCCTTCTCTCCCTTATTAGTTTGATAAATCTTCTCTGTGCACTTACAACTGAGAATCTATTGCTTCATTTATATTTTCTCAATGAAAAATTTCAATCAAGTCTTCTTTTCTAAGAAATGGTATAAGTTGTGATCTTTCTTCTAATGTAGTTCATGCATGGGAGCGCGATTACATTGTCGTCTAGCAAAATAAAATTTGATCAATTTTGAGAATTCTTTCATAAATATGGATTAGGTTCAATTGGACAGAAGCTATATTTTTCTGTTTCTCAAAAATTGATTTTGCTTCTCTTCGAAAGGACTTTTGGAAAAAAAAAAAAGAAGTATTTTTGGTCCAAAAAACTTGGCCAAACGGGCTATAAAATAAGCTATTTTGAAAAGTATATTTCTTCAAAAAAGTACTTTTAATGAGATGAAATTTGTGTTTGACTAATTAATTTAAAAAGTATTTTTGAGCAACAACTAATTTTTGGCTAAACTTTTAAAAAATACATCACTACATGTAAGTGTATCTTTCTCAAAAGTATTTTTAAAAAAAGTATTTTTTTAAAGTAATTACTTTTTTCTACTTCTATTCGGCTCAAAAATATTTTTTTTTTACTTTCTAAAAGCTCGGTAAATATTTTAATTTTGAAAAAAAAAATTAATTTTGACAAAAAAGAAGCTCGACCAAATAAGTTATTAATATAATGTATTTTTTCTTTATATAAGTCTGAATTTGTTTTTATTTCTCAAAATAAATGCGCCGCAATGGGGAACCAAAGGCCCTACTTCTAAAACACGAAAAAGGCCAAAAGAATTGCTATGGCGCTATACTCAGCAATTCGCAGAGTATCTAAATCCACAATTCCTCTTGCAGTTCGCTCCGTCGCTACTGCAGCAACTTCCTATTTTTCCGCTGCCACCGCCACCGCCACTGCCGCCGTTGAAAACAGTGATTTGGGCAGCATTTCTCGAAGCTTCTCAATCCCGGTGCTTCACTACTCTACCAGCGCAGTCAAGAAGAAGAAGAGCAAACACAGCTCCTTTGATGATATTCTGCTCCAAATTGTCGATTCGGAAATCAATTTTGCCCTAGATTCTGATTTTCATGGCTGCGTAAGTTCCTGCTATTTGAATGCTCAGATAAAATATCAAATTAGTTTTTCTTTTTGTTTTTGTGTGGTTATTTTGGCCTGTATGCGTAGAGTACAAGTATGCATCATGTTTGGTTTGAATTTCATCTCCTACTTCAATCACTTTCAATTTGCAATAGAAAGAATCATATTAATGACTTTGAAAGAAATAACAATGGACAACAGAAGAAATATTTGCGTCTTACACTGCTAAAGCTCTAATAGCACTAATGTCATTCTACCTTAAAAGTTTAGTAACTTGTTACTCCCTATGTTCAATTTTATATGACACTATTTTTTAAAATCTGTTTTGAGAACAATGACACATTTCTATAGCTGGATACAACTTAACTTTAAATCTCTCATTTTGCGCTTAATGACATGATTTTATAGCCACGCAAATGTTATGGCAAGTTAAGAGTACAAGTTACAAAAGTCCGTCTTTCTTTCTTAAACTCCATAGTTCATATAACAAATAGATTCACATAAAATGAACTTTCTGGGGTTAGCCAACCCGATAGTGTTTTGATGAAATTTTTATTACTTTAGTCAGATTTGCTTAATTACTTTGATTATTAAAGATTTATACTAATGTTTAAGTGTTAGTTGAAGCATCGACATGAAGTTAAGAATTTAGATAGTTGTGAAGGAAAATGATTTCGGCCCTAAGTGAAGGAAGTTATTTTCCAGAAAATTACTTATTTTCTGATGCAAAAGTATTTCCCATCATACTAAACACAAAACATGAGTATATAAGTCAAAGCTTATAATTTATGCAATCATATGCACCCTTCTTTTATTTGAGAAAGCACCAATATTATCACCACCATTTTCGTTATCTCTGAAGGGGGCTGCATAGAATATCAAGAATTTGAAGTTGTCTTGAGGACATTCTTAAAGTTTTTACTGATATTTCAATGGAAAGTTTCGAAAATATGTGGAGATTCTTAAATGACATAAATGTAACTTCGATTGACTCATCCATATGATTTCATGCCACATCTGTCTTTAGATTGATGCTGATCAGTGATATCTGATGAAGTTTAAACGTATAACGGCATAAGATGACACCACTATTATTCTACATGGGGAATTCCCTGTAATCTAATTAATGCAGAGTCTGTTCATTTAGCCATCATATAAACGTCTATTGTGGTTTTCTTTTTTCTTTCTAAAAGATCCGCGATGTTACTTATTGCGAGTTTGTTGACCCACCCAGCTTTTCTTTTCTCTATTACTTGCAACTATAATTTGTAAATCGTAAAGGTCTCTAGTGTTCTGCTAGTGAGGGACTGGGGTCTAGCTGAAAACAATATTGAGATGGCTCATTGCATGTTTTTCCTTTTATGCAAAAATCAGTTTTTATATATCGTTTTTTTTCCGGTTGTAATGGTGTGAACATCACATTCTATTATCACTATAACAAGTGAATAGAGTATGGTTTAGAATGATCAGTTGGAACCACCAGTTATTCTTATTGGATGATGTTCAAACATTTCATAACAAATAAAATGGCATAATTATGTAAATTTGAATTAGCATGTTCTTGTTTTCTCTGTACTAGGGATGATTAAGCTCTTTGCCATCTCCTTTTTTAACTTTTCCTTTCTATATTCCATTTTTATCCTCTTGTGGAAGGATAGTAAGAGGTTTCCATGTGTATCCTTGCCAATTGTTCCAAAAGCTTAGAAATCTAATACTGTTAATATCTAATTTGTAAGGGGCTAAGAGCAGTCCATGGAGCCGGAGCATAAGCTATTTGATTTCTGATAATCAAATCGTAAGGCATTTGTTATTAACGGAAAGTATAAAATATTCTGAGAAAAAAAGAGTAACTGCCCAAGTAGTAGGACTAAAAGTTGACCAAGACCATAAATATGGTATCAAACTAAGTGATGGTTTTAGTTACTTCAGATTAACCTACTTGATGATTGATGCAAGATATACAATAAGGTAAATCAAGCTTTATATAAATTTCACCCATCTATGGTCTATATCCAGACAAGAGTGGGTTGCTCTAGTGGTGAGCACCCTCCACTTCCAACCAAGAGGTTGTGAGTTCGAGTCACCCCAAGAGCAAGGTGGTGAGTTCTTGGAGGGAGGGAGCCGAGGGTCTATCGGAAGCAGTCTCTCTACCCCAGGGTAGGGGTAAGGTCTGTGTACACACTACCCTCCCCAGACCCCACTAGTGGGATTATACTGGGTTGTTGTTGTTGTTGTTGTTGTTGTTGTTGTTGTTGTTGTTGTTGTTGTATTATGGTCTATATCCACTTTCTTAATAAGTAGAGACCACCAAGGTTAACTGCCTAACTCTAAGTGTGCATATCAATCCACAATTTCTCTGAATGTAATAGTCTGACAATTGGATGTTATCGAACATATTTACCACCTATTGCATCACTTGGTTGAAAATTTCCTTAATGCAGGTTGTAGACATCCCAGATGGGTTTCCTTTTAAGGTTCAAGATAAAGCTGGAGAAAGAGTTATTGTTCTTACGAGAGATTATGGAGAAGAGACCATAAATATTGAAGTTGACATGCCTAATGCTAGATGTGAAAATTCTGCAGATGATGCTGTTAACACTGAGGAAGAGAGTGAGCCACAACCTAGTGTTCCATTGTCAGTCACCGTGTCAAAAGAAAATGGCTTGTCACTAGAGTTTGATGTCAGAGCTTTCCCAAATAAAATTTTGATTTGTGACATATCCATCAAGGAGCTCAAAAGTTCAAGAAATCAGCTAGACTATAGAGGGCCTGCTGTTTCGTAAGTACTTATCTATTGTCTGATGGAGTTGGTTTGGAGCCACTTTCTTATACTGATTACCCAAGTTGTGTTTATCTTCTTTTCAGACTTCTAAATGAAAGTCTGCAGAAGTCTTTCTATGAATATCTTGAAGTCAGAGGGCTGACGGGCAGCACTTCCAACTTTTTGCTGGAGTATGTAATTAGCAAAGACAGCAAGGAATACATCCAGTGGCTTAAAAATATCAAGAAGTTTGTCGAAACTGGTGAGCCTAACTGTTTTTATTTCGAGTTGTTAATAATGTAGCAAGGATTTGTACTATAGCTGAGTCTCTTGCTGGATATGTTGTATTATCTACTTCTACTTTTGTTCTTACTATCTGAACTCCTCCTTTTGAGCAGGTCTGTAGCTGAGGATAACATTGCTGAAGAAACATTTGGGGAATTTCAGACGATAGATGATGAAGGTTGGATCGTCAACGGTGGTAAGAAACGGCAACAGTAATCATGACCAACTTCTTCACGGTAGTGCCAGCTTTAAAAGATAGCATAAGTAGAGGCAATCCTTGCACAAATTTGAGTTTTTTGCTTTTTGTGATTTTGTTGAATAGATTAGATTCTCTCAGTCTCAGGCAATTGACCTACCCATAAAGTAGCTTGCAATAATAACGTTATTGCATGAACTGCGCAACTTTCTTAAGCTGCAGCATACAGGTACCAATATAAGATACCAAATCAGACACATGAGGGAAGCAGAGCTGCAGACCGCCTTTCTCATAGAGGACATGTAGTTCTACTACTATTTATTGATTTTGCTGAAGGGACCTTGGCTTGTATAGTCTAATGACATTAGAGGTTTTGTTCCCAGAGCATAGTACGACTCCAGGGGATACATATAACAAAATAATAGGAAGGCCTAGTTTTTTCCCCTTTGATTGTTTGACATTGCGGC